GAGGCTGAAACGAAACAACGGCCGCCGATCAGATTTATCAACGGCAGCCGTTGTCTGGCCCGGCCTCCTGAAAGTTCGGAGGTAGACCAAAACTTGTCGAAGGTACTAGTGGTTGGAAAAAAAAAAGAAAAAGAGAAAAGAGGGGGGCTGGTACATCCTGGCTCTCGCACCAACAGTATGGCGCAAACCCTACTGCGTGGGAGGGGGACGGAACCAGGATCTAGGTCCAACTTACGCGGATGAGGAGATAAGGGGGCAACGGCCAAAATATCTTAGGGCATGGCCACACCACACGCGAAATGTGCAAAATGAGAATGAACTTCCAGCTAGAACATGGCCAGATGCACCCGCCACATTTTTGTCTTTTCCACATTTCGAGAGTGGTGTGGCGAGGCCCTTAATCCATGCAGGTGGGACATTGGCCGAGGTTGGTTCGTGTTCCCTCATGATATACATAGTGTGAGGACGTTGGCCGAGGTTGGTTTATGTTCCCTCATGATATACATAGTGTGAGGACCTAGCTCAACGGTGCAGGTGGGACTTTGGCCGAGGTTGGTTCGTGTTCCCTCATGATATACATAGTGTGAGGATGAACAATTTGGACAAAGGAGAAAACACGGAGAAATGAAGGCAAGTGGTTTCGGCTGTGAGGGGTTGGGTACTCGTATAGGCATAGGGCGACATGTGAAAAAGACCAAAATGTGACAGGTGCATGTGGCCATGTTCTAGCGGGAAGTTCAATTTTTTTTTTTTTTTCCGCATTTCAACAGTAGTGTGGCCATGCCCATAATCCGCAGTGAGTAGATTGCAAAGTATACACAAGTACAGTGAGTACTAGAACACACCAATAGATTGCAAAGTATACACAAGTGCAGTGAGTACAGGATTGCAAACGTCGGCGGGTGGTGGCACCGCCGCTGCCACGTGGTCCTCCTCCTCAGGGGAATTCCACCTATCAACATCCCTTCGTCAATACCCTGCATTCCACTTCACCCACCTCTGCCTTTAACCTGCTTCCGTCTCTTTTTTTTTTTTTCCCCCCCTGAAACTTCATATACGGGAATTGCATTGGTGTATCTTTCTTACTTCCGTTCTCATGCTCTGTCTGTCTTGCCGGACAGTCTTCTCTTTTCATATACGGGAACCTACTTAACGAGGTGATAAGAGCATCCCCGGTAAGCAGGTCCCGGCGTCGAAGGCTCCGTCTATTGGTGGGGATACACCTGCTGGAAATCGGGTCCAGCGTCCCTGTACAATGATGAAAATGTATCTGCTGGAAATCAGGTCTAGCGTCCCTATGCAGAGATGTGTTGATATCTCCAACTTCCTATGTATGTCTTATCTATCAGACAGAACCCTAACTTTGATGTGATGTGTATTACAATGAAATTCAATCAGATGTGATGTGTGTCCACTGGAAATCGGGTCCAGCGTCCCGATACAGTGGTGTGTAATTATGTCCTACAGTCAGAGACTGTCTTTATCCGGACGTAGGACCCGAACAAAGTGTTTGAGACGCTGGACCCGTTTTCCAGCAGGTGTTGCTCCCCACCAATAGATGGAGCCTCCCTGGGCTTGCTAGAGGCATCTGCTCTTACCAGCGCCCCTAGCAATCACCCGGGTTATTTCATTAAAAAAAAAAAAAAAAAAGTGTTTGAGAGAAGAATATTGTTTTTTATAATTTT